AAGTTTTTTTTTTTACAAATGGTAGCTGGTAGTAAAAATCTTTCAAAATATGTCAATCTGTTTTTTTTTTCATTTTCACTTAGACTCATATTAGTAGTATGTATATGAGAGATGTGCAACGAAACTGATCAAGTTGAGAAAACGATAAAACGATTTTTCGATTTTTTGAAGATTGCGGTTCGGTTCGGTTGGTTCTATTTATTAAATCGAAATATTTGGTTCGGTGTTGGTTTGGAGTTCAAAAAACCAACTATGAACCGAACCGACCGAATACATATATTATTTTTTTGTTATTTTTTTAAAATCTCTCTCCTATCTCGGAGGGCAGAGTTTAAAAATAATATAGTTTTAAAAATAAATTTAAAAAATAATTATAATTTAAAAATAATAGCAAAATAAATTCAAAAGTAAGGTAGAAATAGTTAGGCAAAGTCAAAGTCAAAACTCGCATACAATACATGCGATTTCAGTGTCAACTCGCATAAAAAGGCCTACCGTTCTTCGCAACATGGCTAGGGACTAGATCGTAGACGAGCGTGTACGCTGCCAACCAAGTCCCACTGATGAGGAACTATACTTGTCTTTCTAGTGCTTGTGTGGGGAGGGGGTCTTCGGTATTTCTTTGTGACTAGAATTCAGGTAGAAGAACCCAAGAAAATCAGAAATTACCTTAAATATGAAAAGGGTATTGAGTAGAGTAGCCATCATCCTCTTCCCATTGCAATGCTCTAGCCACAGGATTGCCAGGGCTATCTCTCCCAAGCATTGGGAAGCTGCGTATGCGCAAGACGAGTAAGTGATAGGAATGACTGCATGTACAGAGAAAGGGGGAGTCTGACCCATATTCAAATAACATTTGAGTATAAAAACCAACCCAACCAAAAGGGGGAGAGTCGATCATTTCGTCATCCACAGGCAGTCGCATCATAACATAATCGGGAACATGATAGGAGGTCCTAAGTTCCCCCAAAGCCTCTTCCATCAAGATTGATCACAGGACATGAGCCACAGACAGGCGTCCTTCAGCAGAGGAAAGGGCTCTCTCTTCGAATTGAGACCATGAATGGAGGAGAGTGCGGTAAGAGAAGGAAAAAGAGAAAGCTTCATTGAAGAGAAAACAAAAGCTCAACGAAAACAAAGAAAGCGGAAGGAGAACTGAATGTGATAATCGATGACCTTGCGAGACGATTTAAACGCTCCCAAAATATGCTTCAGATCCCAACGCCTACGAGGAATTGTAACCGCCGCTTGCTACCATTCCCATCCGCGCTAGAGGATGTGACAACCTGCGAGACGATGGAGGCACGTGTCCCTTCCCGTCAATACGACGATATGACCGAACAACCTCCACGCCGTGCTTTCCCTCCAACACGTGGACCCCACTAAAATTTGAAAAAGATCTCTTTGCATGTGCCCTATACCAACCTACTCAAGCGCCCACCTATGTCGACGCTTTCGGATCTGGTTCGCTCAGTCGAGGTCAACCCGACCCAAAAGAAGACTAACCGTTGAGGGAAAAATTCGAGCGGGTCGCGTGTCAGGTATTACGGGTAATAGTTGGAGGGGGGACCACGGACACTGTGAAGTGTATGATTACGGAAGGACAAGGGCTGCATGCTTGTTACGCAATATGGGAGACGTGTCGTGGCCTACAGACGATATTTTGCAGAAAGGATAGACTGAGAGATGGTAGTGCGACCACCATGCCCTAAGAATGTGCTCGCCTGGCCGTTAGAATCCCGTACCTGCTGCGCCATGTACGAAACGTCCTCCCTGATCGGTCGTGGACACCTATAAAAGGGAAGAACCACCATCTCCACCAAGTAAGTGAAAATTTTGTCACTAATTTCCCAATGTGCTCTTTGCTACTTTTTACACCGATTACTAATTTGAGCTTCGGAGTTTATTAGGCAGGAAACTGCACTGGTTTCGAAGATCGTTGTTGTAGCCTTATTTGTCCAATGATAATTTGGAAGGACACGTGGACCTCTCTCTATATATATATTCGCAATATGTAGTCACTTCAAATAAAATCATAAGCTAAATAAAATTATTATTTGAATGCAATTATTATAGTTACTACAAAAGCTTTCGTTATAACAACAATAATTAACCTCATGTCTATCCGATAAATTGACAAGTAACATCCCAGTTACCAATTTTGCTTCATTATTTGCCCTATCATGCTGCTTCATTTCTAGTACTCTTAACACACTAGAATATGAAACTATGCATTGGATGAAGAAATGCTTGCAAAACAATTGTGAACGTAACTTCAGCAAGGAAGTTGAAGCCACACACCACGTCATAGTCAAAACAAGAATATCTATTATTGTGCATTTTTGTTACAATATTTTTGTTAAAGTTTAGATTCTTTTTCTTCTAAACTTAGGATATACTTTTGTATAAATAGAGCCTTTGAGTGCCATCATAATACAGTGAAATATAAACATCATACCTTCTGTGTGAAACTTCCTCTTGTGAAATTCTAACTTGGTATCAGAGCTGTAATGGCCAACGCCTCCTCCAACACCTCTACCCACCCCACCTTTAGCAGCCCACCACTCAATCAATTGCTTAACCAAATCACCACAATAAAGCTAGATAGAACCAATTACTTGTTGTGGAAAAACCTAGCCTTACCCATATTACGAAGTTACAAACTAGAGAGACACCTCTCCGGCGAGCACCCAT